AATACCAACGAAGACGGTATGCGTCATTATATCACCGAAGCGTAAGATCGCGCGATCGTAATCGATCGAAGCCACGAAAATTCGGACGGGTAACAAATCATCGAAGGATATTGCATTCCTCTTGAAAAAGGCGCTCACATGTTTCGCGATTCGCGGTATCAGACCACTCACCTATGTCCGCCTCGGTAAGATAGAATTGCGAACCGAGGTCCGAGATCTGGCACAGCGCGTCATCGTGTAAGGTAACGGATTTGACGCCGCCGAGGATGACGTTCTTAGCAATTTCCACGCCGAGTCCGCCAAGACCGGATATCAAGACATCTGAGGATGCCATGCGACGCATGGCTTCATGGCCGAGGACGTAAAGCTGCCTGGAGTATAGACCCTCGTCGATTTCGGCTGAAGCCCGGGACGTCGAACCATTTTTCGCCATGTCTGCGATCGTCGTCGAGTCGTCGGCTCCTCCCGTGGTGGCAGCAACGCGTCGCTTCTTGGCTGGGGGGTCAACGGAGCTCTCCACCACCTCAGCACTAGACATCGGACTTCACGGGGCGCCGTATTATGTCCGTCGATTGTTTTTCAACCCGGCCGACTGCACTTTAATAAAGCCCGTAACTTCTCACCGCCACGCACCGACCTTGCCACACGCGCCCGCTCTCTCTCTCTCTCTCTCTCTCTCTTTCTCCCCCTTTCTCGCCGCACCTCACGTCGCCCGTTCTCCGCTTCTTCGTCGTTTCCAGTTTACCCTTTCTAAACTGTGCTCGCACTCTTCCGCGATACCAGTGTCCATCCAAGAATGATTCTCGTTCTTTCATCCGCTCTGTTGCTGCTCTCTCGCAGTCGCACCAGCAGCAATCGCAATCGTGTCGATGCTTCCTCGATAAAGTGGGGATGACAACGATTCAAGCGATCGGTAAAACAGCGAGGCCGCCTTTGTGTCACGAAACAAAGGCGGTTTCTTTTCCTCCTCGTTGTACACTTTGCTCGAGGTTTTCGAAAGGACACGTGACAGGGAAACGAGGCAGGAGCACCAATTGATCATTTCCACGTCGAAATTTGAAATATTCTCACTTCCGCCGTTTTCCGTTGCAACATCGTTGCTCAACGTTACATCATGAATTTTGCATTTGAACACGGCCTGCTGATTGGAGTGCGAAACAAGCGAATGAAATGGCGGTTCTCATGTATAGGAAGAAACGATTGGTCGTTCAAGTCGTGTGCTAATTGCACGTTAAAATGGCTCTAGCCAATGTGGTAGAACGCTACTCTAAGATTTTACACTTGATGTACCTGAACAAACGCCATCTATGTAAGCGTCATTCTCGCTAGAAACACCGTATCTAACCTATCAGTTCTTCGTTTCTGCTTATCTGACGTGGCAAGATGATTATCTAATAAATTATGTATGCATCATCGGTGACTTATTGGTACGCAATTGCAGAATTGCTATAGCTGTGTCGATAACAGGCATAATAGGTCACGCATCTTTCTTTAGATTTTTCTTATCGGGGAAAACAAGAGGAATAATGTTTTCTTAATGTTCGCCCCACTTTATTTGCTCGGAACGTTTTCTTTTGTATTGAACATACTATTTTTAAACGATGCTCAATAACCAACTCGGTAACTTCCAGAACAATCCGGTTTGAAGGGAGCAGGGAAAGGGAATACGCAATTCAATTATTGAATCGCTCAATTTTTCAACCAAGTAGTTAGGTAAGAAAAAATAAAAGAACACCAGGTCTTTCAAAACAAATCAAATACTTTATTGCACGTAATATGGTCCACACACCATTTCCATTATAGAACATCTTTTAAACTATTCAGAGGTAGAATTCAACGATTCGCATCGATAACCTGAGCCATTTTCAATTCGCCACGAAAAAAGTGCTGATCTTTAAGATATCCACACCTAATTCTCACACACAGTTATATACTTCTACATGGAAATAATACCTCGACTACACGACTACTTCATTTTTATCACTTTGAAAACACGATATTATTGCGCTCTTACCGTACAACAAACTAATAACATTTTTGTCTCCTTTCGATCCTACTATCACCAACACATACATACATCCAACATCAAACTTCCAACTGCCTACTTAAAATAACCTCTCTCTACCTTTCGTTTTCACAGAATCACCGTACTATCTTACTTTTCCACGTACATCTCGTCCAATACAATCTTTCAACCCTACAACCAACCCAATGCTCTCGACCTGATATTCAGATCGTCACAATAGAAAATACATCGTCGACTATCGTGTTGATTGGCTGGATTTATTCAAAGTGGTTTATCCTCGTCGGTTGGTATGGGACTTCCGAACGCTCGTTGCGTCGTCTCCTCTTCTCTTTCCTTCGATTTTCTCGGCGTTCTTGCTACGTAAACCGTGTCCTCAGGTTCTGGAGTGCCAAACGGCGAAGAGGACTGTGACAATGCTGGAAAAGGAGCGGTTGGCGCTTCGGACTCTGCTGTGCCCGGTGCAGAGTTCACCATATCTAGAGGGCCGCTGAGAATCGAGTCTGGGGATTCGTTGTACGAGTGATCAGACGGTTGAACCGGTTCACCTAGGAGATCGTTCGTCTCTGAGGGTCTCCTCTCTTCAGGGACTGTTGAGGTACGGCGCGTGTTCGCCTTCTTGTACCTGTTATCACACGTTCCTCCAATTAGCGGATAGAATTGTAGCGATTGTGTTAAACGTGGACACACATTGTAGACTGAAGTTGGTTAATGCCTTTCTAAACTTGATTAAAATTTATACTTTATTTTACATTAATGATGATGTTTTATAGGACATTTAGCAGAACTTCTAGTCCACAATGTGGATAACAATTTTTCAGGATGCAAAAAGGTTACAATCCTTTTTAGGAAGGATTTTGAGGAGATCAAGTTTGATGGGATTTAATCTTTCAGGGTGTAATAATAATAATATTTGAAGTAAAGAACTTAATATGTAAAGAAGCTACAATTTTTTTAAAGAAGAATTTGGGAGTAGGTGTAAAGTATGTTCTTATGAAGAAAGGCTTCAGTGGGAATCTAAGGATTCGCTAATTTGAATATTGGATATATCAGTATCACAACGATTGGTGCTGCTTACTGATTGCCGTCTGTCGGTGACGTCGTCTGATCTGGACTCATTCTCGTCGTGCCATTTCCATTGTCCCAGGAATTGTGTCGACGATGATGACTCTTGTCTTTGTACGCTTCTGCTATGTTGTTGTAACTTCCCACGATTCTACGTTTGTCTAGCTCCTTCTGTATCTTCTCTGGCATACTGGTGGTTGATCTGTAGAGTCCATGTCTGATCATATCCTGCCAATTAAATCAATATAAAATTGGTATCGTTTCGCTAATTCTATTAAATCAGCTTCCAAGGAAGAAATCGAGGACTTAACTTAATTTGCAATATTCAATTTTTCTTATTTAAAAAAAAATGTAATTCGTTTGAAAAGAAAGTAATTCTATTAAATCAGTTTCCAAGGAAGAAGTCAAGGATTTAACTTACTCTGCAATATTTAATTTTCCTTATTTCAAAAAATACAGTTCTTCTGCCAAATGTTATCACATCTATGATTAAAGCGAAAAAAGTAGATAGACAAATACCACTTTCTTTCTCAACGTTTTTACGTACGCTCGAGAGAGGAGTTGGTTCCACGTTAGGGTTGGTCCAGACGTTGGTCGCTCCAGGTGCGTCCTCGTTGTTGTTGTCGTTCACTTCCGCCGAATAGGTGGGCCTGGCAGGTATTATAGGTGATCGACAACACACTCTACAGTAATAGAACCTACCAGATTAATTGAATATCAAGATCGTCTTAAATCCAGCCCTACTTACGAATTTACGTCCTCCAGTTTCTTCAGCAATCTTTCATTCTCCCTACAGACTAGCTCTTGATCTCTTATCACTTGCTCCCTGGTAGCGTACAATTCTGCATTCTCACGACGAAGAGCCTCGTTCTCTGTTATATACGCGTGGATCAGCTGACTTAATTCAGGACGTTCCATTTCCGATAATTTATCCAGATCTACCACCGGAGGCGTCAATGGTGCTTTTCTCTCAGCTGTGAATTTGCGAAAGAGTAGGAATAAGGAATACGAAGATTCTTACGGTTTTTCTTTTTCTCTTTTCAACCACCTTTCGACTCGCTGCGAACTATATTCGAAACGTCGCCACCCAGATGAAGAGCCGTCCTCAGGTGTTCGTTTTCCGTCTGAAGAGCTCCCACTTCTCTCTTCAAGCTAAGAATCAGTGCATCTCGAGCATCCTATAAAGTCAGATTTCGTTTATTTTAGCTTGTATCGCTTGTGTATTCGAGAATATGTACTCGGAACAGACTATAATGCTTCACGGTATAAAACGCACGAAGATCTTTTAGATCTATAGATCTTTTTAGAAATGAACAGGGAAAAGTCGTAATCAAAAAATTACAAATTAGAAGAATTTAGAAAATTCACAGTAAAAAATAGAAAAATAAACTTGCACGTAACATATCGTCACTCACCATTACCACGATAGGTTTTGTTCGAATCTTCTTCACCCTAGCTGCGTACCTCAGCGTGTTCAGTGTTTCACTTGCGTTTGACCTAGCTGCTGACACGCAGGCAATCTGAAGATTGAAGAAAATCGTTTGATTAGTCACTCTTCAAGACAGTGTGACCCACGATGGGTCACTCCAGCATGGACGACAGAAAACATCGAACGGATCCACCAGTGGATCACAATATTTGATAATGTTCTATGAAAAGATTGGAAACTGAAAAATTCAGTATCAATGATAATAAATTTAGGTAAAATCGATATGAATTTCTCTGCAGTCTTGAACACGTTGAATGTATAAATTATTAAGTTGTTGCAATTAGAATAACATTATTTACCATCAAGGTAACACCGTTTCCAGCCAAACTGTCTGCCAGAAGCTTGGTCAGTTTGCTGTCCCGGTACGGAATATGACCACCTTTGCGTTTTCCATCGCTCAACGAAGATATGCAGTAACCTTGTGGGAAAAAAGTGGAAAATTTCTTAGGAACATGATGTTGGCGAGTTTACGTAATTCGCACCATCAGGTGCGCCTATCGATTGCTCCACAGACGTTGATGTTGCGGGCAAAGCTTGCGCCCTTTCGTTCGACCAAATCGATTCGTACAATACTTCTGCATAATTGACACGGTGAAGTTTCCGACTTGTAATATAAAACGTGCACCGATTGCACGATATACGTTCTACACTCCGATTTACGAGATAAACGTTGGAGAAATTAATTTTTTTTTATTCTACCTAAAACCATCAGGCTTTTGTTGATGTTGTTCGCTTCCTCCAGAGTTTTCCCCTCGCTCTGTGTTTTCTTCGTCATCTCGCTGCCAGCCAGGTCGACGAAATTAATCTTCCCTTGTCTCGAGATGAACACGCTGTTATCCATCTGTCGATGTCAATACAGCTCAGTTTAATTTAGCTGTTTATTAAGCGATAATTAGGGTATTCACCTGTTGCTCAAAGGTGATGTTCACCGTGAGGATACTGTGACTTCTGCTCGAGTGATCGTTCATGTTGTGCGAGCCGACAGATCTATTTCTCATCCCTGAAGAAAGTCCATGTAAAATGGAAAACAGTTAGTACCAATTAACTTGGAACTTTCACTCACTTTTCTGCGATAAATTTTTCGCAAATTTTCTAAATTCTCTCGAGTGACCGTTCGAATTTTGCAAATCTCGTAAATTATAACACTTGTCTGGAAAGTGAAGATACATCGTGTCTAGGCTACAGCGGAATTTTTCTTAGGGTGCGGTCACTGTATCGACGTAGAAGTAGACTTCTTGGATCGCTTTTACGAATTTCATGAATTTCACGAATTTTACAAATTTTCTAAATTACGAGGTTCGTCAGGAATTTAAGGAATACCGCATCTAGGCCACAGAGGAATTTTCTTAAGGTGACTATACTGACGAAGATTCTCTAGCTCTCCGAGAAATTCGAAGATTTTCCCAAATTTCATAGATTCGAAGATTTTCCAAAATTTCGAAAATGACAAAACTTCTCCGGAGAGTAAAGAGACGTCAGATCTAGGCCAGGGTGGAATTTCCTTCGGAGTGTGGTTGCTATACCGACGTAAACGTAGACTTTCTGGCTCTCTATTGTCGGCGCGAGATTACACTTCACTCGAGTAGAAACGTCTTAGAAATGAAGACGTCAATTCAATCTCCAACCAATTCAATCTTCTCCGCTCAGACAGTTTTTCCTGAGAATTTTCGGATCATCCACCGCGGTATAACCATGAACCTCGAGAAGAGCTCCAGTGATTTTCATCTCAGTTCTCTTATCTGAGCTGGACAAAATTTCGACGGCTTTTGTATCTTTACTTTCCGGATAAGCCTTGTGTACTCTCGCGAGCATCGATATTCCAGTTAGATTCAGTATGTTCACCGGCGAGACACGTCGTTGCGTGCAGATAATCGATTAAAAGGGGTTAAAGTCCATCTGTCAAGGTGCAAAGGTGAAGATCGATAACAGCTACCTTCCTCGAGAACAGCCAAAAGGTCGTCAAGCTCCACGCATTCGACGGTGAAAAGATTCTCCACGAAGAAACCTCGGGTCTTTTTGCTCCATCGTACCATTAAGGGTTTCCTCGACGTTCCAGGATTTAACAGATCTATTACCTGTGGTTCACAGTTGAAATGCAACTGGTGAAACGACGATCTCTGAAGCTGTACGTTAATTCTGTAAGAAAAGACTGACCTTCTCGTTGTAGATCTCCAGAAAGGAAGCTTTCAGTACGAAGTTACATTCTTCTCGCTCTTGCAGCAATTTGAACAGGTAGACGAAAGACCGGAAGACCAGGCCGTGCTCCTCGGAGTAGGGACTCATGCTTTCAAACTGACGCAAAAATTGATTATTTTCGTCCTTTCGAATTGACGGAAAAATTTCTCTATCTAATTATCGAATTAAATCGATAATTTTTCCATGATTATTCTACGACAGAAGTAATGTGAAATTCAGGAGAACTTGTCAATCTTGGAATAGTTTGTATAAATAAGAAGGATCGATGTCTCTTGGAAGCCTGTATTTCTACGACGTTAAATTTTCATATTTTCATATTATACAAAATTGACGGTTAAGCTAAAAATGGTAACATATCGAGAATAGTCGTACGTCGTGAATAATTTGTAGGATTAAGTTAAGTTTACTTGGTGCTCGTACTTCTTGAACATGTCAAAATAAAAAAAGGATAGTATACAGACGTCAATTCTGTCAGAAAGTGACAGGATTAATCGTTCCATTCTTAACCATTCATTGATAATTTTATTTATGTCCGTGATCACGTGGTATATTTCGTCAACAACAAGTAGAACAGGCATCGTTTCTACTTTGTCATTATCTTATCTACGCACGTCGATCAGTATTAACCTTTCCGTTAAGTTTATACGTGGTGTACAACTTGGCCAACTGTTTTAATACATTATTCGTAACGTCATTTGGTATACACTTCCTGGCTGAAACTTTCTCAGAGTACACTTCGTTCCCATCGTAAGAAGAAAAGAGAAGAAAAATGAATTTCTGAAGGTACACTTCGTTCCCATTGTGAGAAGAAAAATAAATGTATGAAAGTACACTTCGTTTCCACCGTAAGAAAAAAAGTGAATTTCTGGAAGTACACTTCATTTCCATCGTAAGAAAAGGAGAAGGAAATGAATTTCTGAAAGTACACTTCATTTCCATCGTAAGAAGAGGAGAAGGAAATGAATTTCTGAAAATACACTTCGTTCCCATCGTAAGAAAAGGAGAAAGGAAGTGAATTTCTGAAAGTACACTTCGTTCTCATCGTAAGAAAGGGAGAAGGAAATGAATTTCTGAAAGTACACTTCATTTCCATCGTAAGAAGAGGAGAAGGAAATGAATTTCTAAAAGTACACTTCATTTCCATCGTAAGAAGAGGAGAAGGAAATGAATTTCTGAAAGTACACTTCATTCCCATCGTAAGAAATAAAGAGAAAGAAGTGAATTTCTAAAGATACACTTCTTCCCATCGTAAGAAAAAAATTAATTTCTGAAAGTACACTTCGTTCCCATCGTAAGGAAGAAAGAGGAAGGAATGAATTTCTGAAGATACACTTCTTCCCATCGTAAGAAAAAAAAAAGGAGAAAAGCGGAAAAAAAAGAGACAGAAGTTTCGAAAAAGGTTCCAACCATCCCAGGAGGTCCAGTAAGTGTATGAGTCTTTCCACTTCCGGTTTGTCCGTAGCAGAAAGCGGTGCAACTGAACCCTTCCACCGCCATTTCGATGAGCTTCTTCACGCCAGAGAATTGTAAGATGTCCTCCTGAGTGGCCGTGGGCTCGAACACCACGTTGTACGAAAATAATTTGCCTTTCTTGTCCCCGCCAGCCGGAGTTCCTTCGCACTGTACAGTGCCAAGCGATAAAAGTCGTCGTGAATTTACGATACTGACGAGTTTACGTTTTAATTAAAAGCCTTACGAGAGGAAAAAAGGTGAAAGAAGGTTGTTGTATCGAATTATCGAGGGTATTATCTGTGCGTCTTAGTTACTATTTAAAACCGACTAGAGAAGGAAGTTAAAGGAAATGGACTCACGTATATCTGACCGTCCCCAGGAAATTGCACGGCCATATTGTCGCCGGCTTTAACTTCTCTACCGCTAAGCGGGCGTACTCTGGATAACGAGGAATTCATTGTGAAATCGATATTGTATAATTATTCCTGAGAATATTTTGAATCCTAACAAAAATAATCAATGGACATGGAAAAATATTTTAAATAAGGTTTGATACTTTAAATAAGACAAACTTGTGTCGTATACATCCCTTCGAGAAAAGTGTCACGAGTGAAATATTGTCACTTTTCATTTTATTTTTTTGGGATATTTTTTAATACACAAATGTACCATCGGAAGATATTTCAGAAGTTGAACTGTAATACTTGAAACGACCAAATTTTAGCTGACGTATATTTCACAGTGCTATAATTACGCAATTTTGCAAATGGCAAAGAATATTTTTTAGAGTAACTATTACACCTTGTGCTTTGATTAATTCTAGAAAATTCATTAATTTTGTATATTTACCTGACGACTACATTTATGTTATTCTCTGGAAGTAAATGTTTAGTGGCGATCACTCTCTTGTCTCCATCGACCAGCCTCTCGATGCTGCCAGTCCTGAAATCGAGACAATCGGACAGCTAGAAATTTGTCTAGAAATGAAAAAATTAAAACTAACGTTCTCTCGTAGAATCGTAACATCGTTCTCTCCCTTATCACGATCGAACGTCTCACGATTGACCTCCCTATCACGTTGGCTAAATAATAGAGGAGGTTCAATCAATTTGGCTAACTGAACCTGTCGAAGAAAAATCGCGTGATTGACCAAGGTTCGTTTATGATTTCGCCTTTTTTCCCTCCTTCGGTACACCAAGTTTATCGTGATATTGAAAACGACTGATTGCTTGGATAAACAATAATTTAAGTGGACGTTAACTAGGTTTCCCGAGAAAGATGTGCTTCCTTTAACCTTTCAGCCACGGTGAAGTTTCGCGTAAACGACGTTGATACTTTGAAAAACAATAGAAGAAAAGTTCGAATCGAAACATGCGAAAGTAATTTACACGGATTTCAACGTGAGATGAATAAGTTAGCCACCGTAGTGGTTTTCCATAACGAAAATGTTAGTTAGAATTTAGAGGAAAGCCACTGTAGTGGCGTACAGTAGGTAAAGGGTTAATATTGGGAGAATAGCTGAAATGAATTGCATAATTATTCCAGGATTTTACTTTTCTCGAGTGCAGGAAACTTAACGAATTTTCGTTGATAGAATCTTTCCTTTTTGGAATCTTAAAGTAAGCTTCCAAAGCATCCAAGAATAGCTAAAACGAACAGCATAATTATTCCACGATTTTTCTTTTCTGGAGAGCAGGAAAATTAATGAATTTTCACTAATAGAATCTTGAAGTAAGCTCCGAAAGCTCACGAAGCTTGCGAAGCTCCCTTTAACCATATTGAAGCTTTCCACGTCGCGTGTACAGTAGGTGACTACGGTGCACCACGTCAATTTCCCTAAATAAAACTTTCATTAACACGTTCACTGCCACCGGAATATCTAGACCGCATACGCTGCGTCCATTGCATCGAACGTGTTAAACGAAAAACAAAGTTATGCAAAATATACGAAAAAGAAAGATAAGAGTATCAAGAACTGAACTCGTATGGATATTTTTTCTATAATTAAACATTTAAACGTGACTTTTTAACTTCGTTTCAACGCTCCGGTAAATCGCAGCAATTCTCTCGTGGAACGTGTTGAAGAAAGGCGCTGCTCTAACGAAATCTACGATCTAAGTTACACAAATCACGGGAACAATTTAACGTTTGAAATTTTGTTGTTATAATATACGTCTATTACGGTTAGTTTCCACTGGACGGCCGATAACAATCGTCACGGTGTGACCGTGAAAGCTTCGAATTGCACGCGTAGAAATTTCAATTTCTCAGTCGTCCATTTATCCTCCATACAGGGGAGAGCGGGGTAATGCCGGCTGCATAAGCAAGAAATGCTGTAAAATTTGAACAAGTGACACATTTCTTAATTTTTTTATATTAATTGATAGCTTGAAGTGCCTGGTTTGTATCAGCATGGCCGAGAAGGTATAAATTTACATTGCAATAAAATTGGAAACAAAAAACTAAAAAAGGGCATTTGGCTGGAATTACCCCACTAGTGGGCCATGACTTTTTCTTTATAAAAGGGGTAAGGAAACTGTTACATTAGTAAAAATTTTTATTATTTTGAGTTTAATTTTATTATTTTCACGAAGCTTTCTCACATTTTCCAATCGACCCAAAAAATAGGAAAAAAAAAAAACACTTTACTCATCACACTCCTGTGAAAACATGAGGTGACAATTTTCTCGTTCTATGACGTAATTCCGCGAAGAATGCAACGATAGTGTCGATTTTAACGGCGACACGATTATCGAGCATAGGTTACGTGAAACTATTCGAAGACCCCGAGTTTATCCTGCATCGCGACCTTCTAATGTATTCGCCAGCGGAAATTACAATTATGTTAAAAGCGTGATAAAAAGCGACCGCTCGAATCGCCACGTGTGTGTGTGCGGTGAAGCATCGACGTGGTACAATCGATAAGCTTTCACGAATTGCAATCGTTCGTACTGGTGAAGCTTTCAGTAAGAGTATTATGAAAAGGAAATGTTCTAATGAAAATTACAGGGTGAATTTCGATTCGTCGTTTCTCCTAGCGTTAGCGGGAGCTTTCCTTATTTCGATCGCGTTCACCTGCCTCGTTCGTTTAATCTAGCGAAATTTTCACGAGGATCATGAAAAAAAAATGTTGTAATGAGAATTAAAGGGTGAATTTCGATTCTCAGCTTTGAAACTTTCACGAGTATTGTGGGAAAAAATTGTTCTAATGAAAAGTAGAGGGTGAATTTCGATTCTCAGTTTTGAAATTTCCACGAGTGTTATAGAAAAAGAATTGTTCTAATGAAAAGTAGAGGATGAATTTCGATTCTCAGTTCTGGAACTTTCAAGAGTATGTATTATGGAAAGAAAAATTGTTCTAATGAAAATTAGAGGGTGAATTTCCTAACATTAGCAAGAGCTTTCCTTATTTCGATCGCGTTCACGTGCCTCGTTCGCTTAATCTAGCGAAATTTTCACGAGGATCATGAAAAAAAAATATTGTAATGAGAATTAAAGGGAGAATTTCGATTGGTCATTTTTCCCAGCATTAGCGAGTGCTTTCGTTATTTCGATCGTGTTCACGTGCTTTATTCGCTTAATCACGCGAGCTTTGACACGTCCAGCCTCGCGAAATGACCATTTATCGATTAGAATTACGTTACGCGGGTCGATTTTTTCAAAGAGACACGGACTTGATTAATTATCATGATCTAGAGCTAGTTTTTTTAGTGATTCATCAGCGAGATCTTGGTATATCTACACTTGCTAATGGCGTCTGCGGTATGTGTTCGTGTTTCGCGTATTTGTAATTCGGTTCACGGATCCGAGTTGCATTGGTCATCGATAAAATTGTCTGGCAGTATCGTATGATAATAGATCACGTATTTGCTCGATAATGTGTTCCTCTTTCCTGGACGCTATCTTTCGCTGCTTCGACAGAAAATGTATGACTAATATTCGGAGATTAACGACTGTAAACCATTTCACCGATACAGTTATCTCTGATTACTTCGAGAAATTGGATAATTTTCAATCGGATTTTTATATAAATGTAATTTTTCGACGAGGTTTCAGTTAGATAAAACATTCACTTTTGGGAAAGTCGCTAATGGGTCACTTTTGACCCAGCTGGCCGTTCTAATATTAACTTGGCTCATTTATGATTAAGACTCTAATCAAATTTCGCTGTTGTAAATATTCCAAAAGAATTTTTATATTTATTGAGGAAAGTTTGAAACATCTGACTTGACGAACAATTTTATAATGCAGTAGAGACTTCAATAAGCATTCCAGAATGCTTTCGTATCTCGTTAAAGCCTAGAACAGTATGAAAATTAGACCCACGAAGTGTCAGAAAATATGTTTGCCTACGAAATTTCATTTTTAAAAATTTAATCAAAACATTAATATAAAAATATGCAATTCGAAGAGCTCTCCTTTCGACAATTCAGTCTCTCCCTCTTCCCAGCAGACTAAAAACGTTACAACAGTATGAAAATTAGGCCCACAAAGTGTCAGAAAATATGTTCGCCTACGAAGAGTTCACATTAATTTTTATTTTTATTTTTAAATAAAAGAATGCATAAAAGTTTGATTGAAAAAATGAATACAAAAATATTATAGGTACAATTCGAAGAGCTCTCCCCTCGACAATCCGGTCTCTCCCTCTTCCCAGCTGACTAAAACCGTCGAAAGACCACATTTCGTTTCCCCATTTTATTCAACGTCATTCCACCCGCGGTGTTATTCATTTCCACCCATAAAAACCAGCCCGCGGCAGGGAAAATACGCGTTTCACGTGTCTGAACGCAAAGATCTCTTTTACACGGGCTCGCGATCGTCGCGATATTGACCGACAGAAAGGAGACAAGCCGGCAAGGTCCCGCAATCGATACTCGGCATCGAAATGTGTCGCAACTGCGACGTATGTCTATCAATGTCTGTAGCTGAACGAAACGATCGAGGGTGAGTTTACACACGAGCAAACCCTCCTCCTCGACTGTAGGAAAATTAAATCGAACGACCAAGTCGCAACAGCTCCTTCGACGCGTTACCATCCAACTTGTGTGTTATCTATTGGCCTGGATCTTCTAGAGAATTTACCAGGAAACGATTCGATTCACTAATTCACCCGTCAACTTCTTCAACCACCAATTTATTCATAGGTTCTCCCTTTCGAAATCTACTCCGATTCCGCATAGTTTCCCATTCGACAATCTTTCCGACGAGCCGCTAATGCGAATGATCGTCGTCGACCATCGTTCGCGATAATTTCGCTGCGGTAATTTTCCGTCGGTCAATATTCCTTCGCGGCTGTTCGGTTTCCTTTTTTTTTCGTCGACAGCCGGAAGTTTCGCGATTTTTATCGTTTATTTCGTGTCTTATTTTTTTTTTTTTTGTATTCTCTTTCTTCCTTCGATTTGCGTGCTAATAATTGCGCGTTATCGTAAGATTGCGAAGATAAGCGACTTCTCGGTAATGATTATCTGACAGGTCTTGGTTATCGCTGTATGAAAAATCGATCAGAAGGAAAGGGACGTTCTTCTTATTTACCGGTGATAATGTACGCGTAATCTATACAATATTCATAAATTGATCGATACGCAAGGACGTTATCGTTTATGTATCTGCGTTGGTGAAAGAAGGGAAGGGTGGACAGAGAGAGAGAGAGTAATCGTTGCATCGATTAGGTTCTTTCGCAGGAACGTTGAAAAGCGAATCGATAGTTTCCTACGTAAACGTTTGCTTACACTGTCCACTTACGCAAAATTGCTGTGGAAGCGTTGATGTTCCATCAGATAGTGTTAACACGGCTTATTTAAGGAACTTTCGTTGTGTTCGCCGTAGTTATGGAAATTACTCGGTTATTTTTAGTTCGGGATTTCAGTAAAATGGGAACGACGAAGAACGGCGAATCCTTGGAAACACGATTTTCCATGATTTCTTGAACCGTGATCAATCGAAGGTGTCTTGATCGAATTGAAATATCAAAATACATACTCTTGAGAGATTTTATGTATATGTACTCTTGTTACAATTTAAATGGAATAAGAAAGACAAAAAAGTGAAATATTGAAAATTCGATTTTCCTTAATTTTCCAATTTCTCAAAGTTGTTCAAAGAATACTTACTTGTTATCATGAGTTTGTGGCAAGCTATTCTTCCCAACTACTCATTTGTACTTCTCAATTTAAATATAATAAGAATGTTAAAAAAGTGAAATATTGAAAATTCGATTTTCCTTAATTTTCCAATTTCTCAAAGTTGTTCAAAGAATACTCACTTGTTATCATGAGTTTGTGGCAAGCTATTCTTCCTAATTGCACATTTTTACTTCTCAGTTTAAGTAGAATAAGAATTTGAAAAAAGTGAAATATTGAAAATTCGATTTTCCTTAATTTACCAATTTCTCGAAGTTGTTCAAAGAATACTCACTTGTTATCATGAGTTTGTGGCAAGCTATTCTTCCCAACTACTCATTTGTACTTCTCAATTTAAATACAATAAGAATGTTAAAAAAGTGAAATATTGAAAACTCGATTTTCCTTAATTTCCTAATTTCTAGAAGGTGTCTCAATCGAATTACAGTGTCAAAAATAATTCTCTGTCATTTCCATGAGTTTACAGTAAGCTATTCTTCCTAATTACACATTTTTACTTCTCAGTTTAAGTAGAATAAGAATTGGAAAAAAGTGAAATATTGAAAACTCGATTTTCCTTAATTTCCTAATTTCTAGAAGGTGTCTCAATCGAATTACAGTGTCAAAAATAATTCTCTGTCATTTCCATGAGTTTACAGTAAGCTATTCTTCCTAATTACACATTTTTACTTCTCAGTTTAAGTAGAATAAGAATTGGAAAAAAGTGAAATATTGAAAACTCGATTTTCCTTAATTTCCTAATTTCTAGAAGGTGTCTCAATCGAATTACAGTGTCAAAAATAATTCTCTGTCATTTCCATGAGTTTACAGTAAGCTATTCTTCCTAATTACACATTTTTACTTCTCAGTTTAAGTAGAATAAGAATTTGAAAAAAGTGAAATATTGAAAATTCAATTTTCCTTAATCTCCTAATTTCTAGAAAGTGTCTCAGTCAAATTAAAGTGTTAAAAAAATACTCACTCATTTCCTCGAGTCTATAGCAAACAATTCTTCCCAACCACTCATTTTTACTTCTCAATTAAAATAGAATAGTAACCGATTTTCTTTAATTTCCCGATTTCTAGAGAGTGTCTTAATCGACTAAAAGTGTTAAAAATATACTCACTCGTTTCCGCGAGACTGCAGCAAGCTACTCTTCCCAATTACTTTGACACCAGAACTGCTCCTTCCTGGACTATTCCCTCTGGAAGTGCTCTTCCCCGGACTATTCCCCCTGGAAGCGGTCTTCCCCGGACTATTCCCCCTGGAAGTAGCCTGATTCGACGGGCTATTGCCGCGTGACACGCGACTCTTCCCCTTATCCCTCTTTGCATTTTCTTTTTGAAGACTCTCGCCTCGGGAAGGCGACGGATTCTTCACAAGCACCATTCGTCCACCTTCGCACCAATCATAAATTACATTCTCTACGAGCCCCTCGAAACTTGAAACAATCTAATTCTTCGAAGTCGTTCGAAGAAAGAGAAATTAATCCACAGAAATTCAACGACAAAGGAAAGAAGCGAATCTTGGCTGATCTTCACAAATCGTGCGATCGGTGTCGTTCTCACGAGACGAGCCCGAACAATCGAACAATCTATTTCATACCCGCGGATCATGATGAGTCGATCGAGAAAAGTGAAATGGCTCATTTTCCAGGATTCACAATAGCGAAAGTCTTTCGTCCACGTAGAAGAACGAAAATTTATACAACAACACGCCGTTTAATTACCCGCTTACATACGGGATGATAATTACACGTTGGTGCAGTTCAAGCGAAAGTTGTACACGCTAATTGGGATTCCGAGTAGAAATTCCGCGGCCGCTCATCGATAGATGAAGGAGAGAATTGAGCATTGAACAAAACCGCCTGTATAATTCGACGATTAAACGAAAGTAGCTACGTAGATACTCTGTACGGAGCTTTTTTCTTCTTTTTCTCTTCAGCCGCATCGATCAACGTTTCTTGGTACGCGGGTTTGTAGAAACTTTTATTCATAAGGAACAAGCACGGGAGTTGACGACTTCAGTAACACCTTTCGTTTTGAATCGAGAATGAACGCGGTTCACCGGCGGATTTTCGAAGTGAAAGCAAATAAGATCGGCGGTGAATTCGTTCTACTCGAATGAGACACTTCAATTAACCAACGAGTCAAATTCATAGCATGTTTGACAATTATGGTACTTGGTTTTCTAATACCGTTTCATCGAGATAATCGCGCGACAATCGAAAGAAGAATGCGAATTTTACTTTTACTTCCTTGTTACAGTGATTGTATGTACGATCTTTCGTTCCAATGAATTTGCAAGCAGAACTTTTCATTTGTTACAGTTTCTAAACCCCGAATCCTCGAAACTCTCAATTTTCACGGTGGATTGAATGAAATCGCGTGATCGATCGCTGCGAAAATTAACGTAGAAATCGTTGAATTCCCAGAGTGAAGTGTTGCGAAACTACTGTACATCGTCGAGTGTCCATAAGTTGTACTCTAAGCTACTCCACTTACATTCGAAATTTCATAGATCGTTCAAAATTGTCCCATCACCCGAACTTCGTCCAACTTCCTTCGAATCTTCCCCCGGTGTGAAATTCCCCGTTTTGTCACTTGGAACGAAATCTACTGTCTTCGCTGTAGCGAAACGTGTGGCAATTAGTATGGACACCCCCGAGTTACAGGATAACGGAAACTCGTGCAATAGCAACAACAGACGGCACGCTACTGACACACGTCGGGGGTGGTTTTTCCTATAGTCGATGTTCCTCGATCGAAACTGTGGTGTCCGTGGTGGTCGTTTGTTCAGACACGCGTCGTTCTTCCTTCGTCCAAAGTTGCGGTCATCGTCCACGTGGGTCTCGATGGTTACGTCAGAGTGAACTTGACACGTTGCGTCGCGGTGCATACGTCATGGTGATCAATGGGCCAGCCGGAACCATTTCTTTGACATAGAATTCGAGTGGGGAGTGTGTGAAGCAACTGTTGACAGTGGGCTTAAATATGAGAGTACGTATGTTGTTCAATTATGAAGGTAAATTCGACTACTATGAGGTTGGGAATAGCGGAAGAACCGTGAAATGTGGAGGAATGTTTCGTGTATTTAGCCCTTTAACGAATTTCAGATTTCTTACTTCAGAGTAGGGAAATGGTTAATTCTTTGATAATTGACTGAGAAGCGATATTGAGTAATTGTCACTTGGTAAGTGATTAATCAAGACAGAGAGCAGATCTGTGGGCCTCCATAAATTTGCTCACCATAGTGAAATAGGGGATATATTGAATATTTAAATAAAATAGTATAGTGTATTTCTGCGCTACTTTTAAAAAATTTCAAAGGAGATTCGATTTGCAATCTTTCCCATAGCAAAATGAGCGCAGAGGGTTTTAAATTCTCAACCTTGCGAATAGCGGAAGAACCGTGAAATATCGAGGAATGTTTGGTGTATTTAACTATCTACTTAACCCTTTACCGAATTTCAGATTTCCCACCTTAAATTACGAAAATTATTAAAATACTTTTGTCCAAGTATACGATGACTTTAGATTCAAATAAAGAAGCAATTATCTTCAGTGCTCGACTCAAGAGTGTCTTCTAATTTCAGAAACGCATTTCTACCCGTGTTCTTCTGTCGAGAAAGAGTTCACCCTTGGCGGAAGAAAGCAAAAGCAAAGAGAGACCAGCGTGGATGCACGGGGAGTCGTTCGACTCGAAAATTACGGGAGGATGCCCCGTGGAAATGACCAGCTATAAATACGCCGTGAGAGTGAGCGGGGCCACGTAGTAAACTTTATTGCAGCTCGTTTTCCGTTGTGGGCTCCAAAACCGTTGGAAAAATCCACTTTCTTCTCTTCTCCACAGCCACCCTCCTTTCAACCTTCATATTTTCGCACCGGGTAGCCTCTTCGTCCTTGCCTCGCCAGTTTCTTCGCTCTTCTTCTTTACTTGAAGAGACAGAAATATATTTCACGTTCTTTTCAACCTAGGATACGATTGATATCTGTGTCGATCACTATCGTACCTCCAACGCTGACTAAAGTAACGGTCACAAAACTATCGTAGCGGTATTTGTCGTAAGTCCAGATGGAACACACGTGGAATGACAATCGCCTTTCTTCCACGTTACGAGATGCACGATTATGTTTTACCGTGGACTATATACACAGCTGTGAGTCATAAGTGTGACACGTTCGAATGTAAAAAACACTACAGTGTCCCTAAATTTTTTTTTTTTTAAATCTGAGCGTGAGAAAGAGGAAATGAGAGAAACGCGGATGTCGAATTATTTCATC